AGGCCAGGGGTCTTCCCCAGAGCACGTGATCAGGGTGCCATACTGCTCTGAGAAGCCACGCTCGGGTGGCTCCTGCTGAAGTCTGCCTCTAGAAGCTAAGTAAGCTGCATTATTTGAATTTCCTTATACCACAGGTGTCAATTGTACAGGGCCCTCATAAAACTGGGTTTTACTAAAAAAAAGAAGCATCTTGTTTTGTTCCCAAGAAAGTCTACATTTCTTCTCTTTTGCCATGTCTTTTTTTGTCCCTGGGCAATAAAATTAAAATACGCAATGAGGTACCATCAGTTGTCTACCAAAAGTAATTCAGGCACAAATCCTTTTTATTGTTATTTACATATTAATTTACATTAGCACTGAAGGGAGGAAACAATACTGCATCCACAATAAGCAGCACTGCCACTTATCATATGTCTAATCCAGTGTTTCCCAACCTTGGCAACTTGAAGATGTCTGGACTTCAACTCTCAGAATTCCCCAGCCAGCATTCGCTGGCTGGGGAATTCTGGGAGGTGAAGTCCGGACATCTTCAAGTGGCCAAGGTTGGGAAACACTGGACTCTAATCTGCCTGTTCCCAGCAAACTTAGCAAGAGAGAACAAAAACATTCAACAGAATTCCAGAAAGATGGCTTTTATTTTTTTAAATCAAAATGCAACCTAAATCTCTAAACTACAATGCTTTGAAACACAAGGAGGTACAGCTTCAAACATGATACTGTAGAAGCCAGACTAAAGCAAATGATAAGAAGGGTTGAATATAGAGATGGGGCTTTAGCAGGAAAGGGGGCAGTCAGAACTGGAAATAGCTGGTGTGGCACCACGGAGAAGTCTTCACTTTTGTATCTGCAATAAACTCTTCAAAGACAATCAGGATTCTCAGCTTATGAAAATAGAAGCGTATTCATACACAGACAAGTTCCAAGCTGTTTAGGAATATACATAGAATTTAACTCGAAACTTTTCCAAACAGGAGTCATATGCTCCTGTCAGGACATACCCAGCAGAAACCCAACTGTGCCACAGTCTTCTGAGTGGTGGCCCCTTCTATACAGAACATCATTCACCACGAGGCACAGCTAAACCCCCCCCCAATCCTGTTGCTCTTATAAGCTGTGCAACGTCATCTACGTGTGGCTATATACATTTGCTTAATAAATAAATAATTCTAGACCATAATCATTTTTTAACTTCCTTCAGTTGTCCAATTGGGGAAAGAACTAGAAAATGAGCAATACCGTAGTAGCCAGATTAATTTTTTTCAGAGAAGGGATGTAATTGATAGATCATCTGTAGAGGGGGGGAAAAAGTTTTCCTTCATACTACACCAGCCTGAGGATCCAAGAGCAGAAGATCTAGAGGATTCCCAGGCTGTGTTCCTGTTTTTTCAAGTAGAAGTCACTTAGATGATACCTTAGGCTGGGACAGAAGATCATTTCAATCAACCACCAAGATTCTGACTGACAAGTTTGGCATGAAAGCAAATTTCCCTGCTAGGAAGGAACGAAATAAAATAATGCCGTCTTCTTTCCTATTTTGTTTTTATTGGGACGAGAACAGTTTGCAAAGAAGATATGATAGGAAGCAAATTAGCAAGTCATTAATATAAATGAAAATTATATGCCAATGATGTTGTAGTAACATATACTCATCCAAACCACTCGAGAACTGGTAATGGAATATACAGAGCAGTATGGCTTGGAATATAGAATTAGATTTTTTAATCCAGCCTTTATTATTTTCATAAATAGCTGAAGGCAACAAACATACTTAATACTCCTTCTATTTTGTCCACAACAACAACCCTGTGAGGTAAATTGGGCGGAGAGAGAATGATTGGCCCAAAGTCACCCAGCCGGATTTTTCGTGCCTAAGGCTGGATTAGAACTCAGAGTTTCCTGGTTTCTAGCCTGGTGCCTTAATCACTAGACCAAAATGATGGTATAAAAAAGCAGTATCTGCAACAGGGTTTAATATTATTGCTAAAAAATCAGATACCAGGGGATTTATTTAATAACAAAAAAAAAAAAAGATTTCTTTATGAATAACTATTTTCAGACTTAGAAATGTATAAAGGGAAATATATTAAGATGGAAAAAATGAAATGGAAGGAAAAATGTTAACACTTAGTTAATATCACACTATAAGAAACTAATA